AGCGGGTCTCGGAGCGAATTCGGACGGGTTTGGAGCGCTCGCGGAGACGGGCCCGTTTATCTAAAGGCGATTTCCAGCCCTGGGGGCCGCATCGACTTTTTCCATATAATCTGGCATTTTATCGCACGTTGTGCTTGATGTTAGGTATGTGGATTTTAGGTGGGATAAGATAGTTTATGTGATTTCAATAGCATGCGATATCGCTTAGATAGATATATATATATATAGATATATATATATATATATGCTTTATTTTGCAATTATATGTTGATAGTTTTGTGATGAGTTTCTTATGCTTTTAGTGTTGTAGAACGTTCTATGATTTCGCTTGTTCAATCAGAACGTTACTGGGTGTCATGTAGAGACATACTGACGTTTAGTTCTTGGAGCGCGCTCTAAGTCAAGCGCGCAAAGAGACTTGGAGCGCCGTTCACATGTTTGGCGCTTGGCAGGTTCCCAACAAGGTTCGCTGCCAAATGCGGAAGCCGGAAGATGGATGGTTGCATTTTGGCTTCTCTTTAAAGCCATCCCCGAAAAGGGTAGCTTCAAAGAAACATCCGCCCCAAATAACACGTAACATAAATGAGTAAAAGAAACAGTATACATACAAATAAACAAACATAGTCACACAGAACTAGTGGCGGTTGCAAAGCAGCAGATGATGTTGCAGGGAAACCGCAAGAAGATGGAACATCATTTGGTTGATTTCCAGAATTGAAAGAACACAGTGTGCATTCTCTAAGCTCATGCTCATAAGCAGTAGCAATCAGATCCCTGGACACCCCGAAAGTTGAACATGGCGAGTGCACGGTGTCGCATCCAAGCCATTTATTGGACATCAAATTGGGCTTCGGGAAAAACACCCATCGATGGCGGTTTTGGTTTTGACAATCACCTTTTGAGACTTCTCAAAATGCTTGCAGTTTTACCTGCCTGCATGGTCCTGACGCAGCGCACCACGGTCAAGCTGCATTTGCATTGATAGGAACCACTTAGCATGGCCCCAGGCAAAGCAAAGCTGCAGACTCACAATCAGTTTCTGCAACAACTGCCAACCACAATCTGCTTGGCAATGAATTGTCGGTGACAAGCCATGGACAACTCCGAGCCATTCGTGGGCCGCAAATGCTGGCCAATTGCCGATGCTTGGTCGCACGCACCAACGGAGGTTCGGCTTCACAGGTCGGCTTGGGGCTTGCTTGCCTCATTGAAAATGCAGATTCTGAAGGTGTTTCGGTCCCTCATGGAGCGCTTGTGCCTCTTCTGCTTTGTGCAGCAAGCCATGCTCGTCTGAGGGTGAGGTGTGAGTGTGACATTTTGCAACTTTGGGGTGCTCCCGCAAAGGGGCCCTAAGAATGGCAAGTGTTTTTTTTTTTCTCGGGGACCACGTGTTCCCGTTGAAGCTGGGTGGCAACACATGTGGTGACCTTCCACTACAGTCGAGGTAATGTTCACAATTCGTTTTTCTTGGTACTGGGTTTGGGCATAGTGTTGACAGTGCTTTCTCTTGCGGACAATTTTGGGGCTTTCTTTTGGTGCTGTTTTTTCAATTTGCTCTACCGTTTTTTTGGGGTGCTGTTTTTTCCCCCCGTTTTTTCCCAGAGTGGAACTCCCGTTTTCTTCTGCGCTTGGCCCGTTGTTCTATCCGAGGTGGCGACTGCCTTGGCCTGCGCGGCGTTGCGTTTCGGCTTCGGCTCGTGGGGCTCGGAGACGGCCACTCGGCAAACGACGTGTCCAACGGCGGGTGGGCCTTGCCTCAGGGCCGAAAGCGGCGATCGTTTCAGTGGGAAACAAGACAGTACCTTAGGACTTTGCGGCTTGCCAAGTGCGCCGAGGGCGCGGTGGGGGGGGGGGGTGAACACCAAGTCCAAAATCCGACAGCGCCTCCAAAGGGGGGAAATACCGTAAGTTGCAGCTTGTGAAGGGGAAGCCCAGTGACCCTTGTCAGATACGCCCAGTTTTCTTGGCTTCTTGGCATTGGTGATGCATCGACGAAAGCCCGTCCCGGCTGGAAAGCCTGTCCCGGCTGGAGCCGAGCCTGTGCCCAACAACCCGCAGTACTCGCCCAAATGTGTACGTCTGCCAAAACGATGCAAAGCGGTGCAGGCCCCAATGTCTAAGACAACAATCAGACTCTGCTAGTGGAGCTGTCCCCCCAATGTGAACCTCGGATGAATCCGGGAGACCCTGTCAGTGTAAGGCGCCCCCTAAAACAGATCGCCTTCCGAAGCAACCGGGAACGTACTGTCTGGATGCATCTGGAGTCCACATAGGGAGCCGTTGGGTTCACTTGTTGGTGAGATAGGTAGGGAATGACCATTGGAGTGCTGGGAATGAACCGTTTGAGGCTGCCCTCAATGGAAATCATCAGTTGCATGGTTTTTCTCGGGGTCATTCCATTTCTCCGCTTTGGTTAAACGAGCTGTTGGCTTTCCGTTTCCCCCGCGTCAAAGCCTCGCCGAGGTCCGGAGGCTGGCCGAGGCCCCCGCGCCCGCGGCGC